GGCTAGAGCTGCAGGGTCCAAGGGTCTCTTCCACAGAGCTCAGCACTGGTGAACAGGAGGGAAGACAGTTTTGGAGATGCTGGCTCGGTTTACAGGCATGGTCACAGAAAAAGTCTAGGAAAGTACAGAGTTTTGTGCCGACCTCCCACACCTATTGTGGGCAGTCAATACCCTTTCCTAGCCAGTACCCAGCAGAGTGTTCTTTAAATGAGATGTGTGCGAGTAGGCTCTGTGCTCAGCAGGCAGACAGAGCCTAGAAAAGAACATTAATTTATCTGTCAACTGGTAAGTTAACAATGTACGAAAAGTGTATTGTTTCATTAATCTACAAAAATATGTTACACACCTGCTGGAGATACTCGGGGTACCCCAGTAAAGAGTCTAGTAGAAATATTTTATGGTAAGTGCCAAGACCTGCATATGTATTAATATGATGCCAAGCATTTAATACCAAGTGAAACAGTCCTTTCTGGGACTATTTAGGTTAAAAATTGTCCCAGCCAAGGGCCCCAGTGACATCTCCCAACTCCATGTGCTCCTGTTCCAATCCCCTGTGCACCTCTCAGGTATATCGTTGTGGGGAGGAAGAAGGGGAGCGGTAGATTCCTCACCTTAACCAGCCCATCAGCTATGCATGGAGAGACATGTGGGGAAACTGCTTCCAAAAGGCAGGCCTCCCTACTCCATCCTCCTGCCAGGCTGCTAAGGGAGTCCACTCCAACCTGGTGACTGTCCTACTCCCTTCCCTCCAGATTCCATAGGTTACGTCTTCCCCTTTATGGATTAGCTAAAAGCAGCCATATCTGAGTAGCATTTGATGAAAAGAAACGAGTTATTACTATGAACCAAAATTATTATTATTACAACTGAGATACTTTACGTAGCAGCCACAGAAGAAGTCTGATCTGGGCAAAGTCAACCACCAGTTGCTTGCTGCCTTTGCCGGTGTGGCCCCAAGAAATTGAAGACTCATGTACAGTCCAAAGTACAGCGGCTCTCTGATCCATTTCCTCTGATAGATCCTCTCCTCATATCTTATAAGTGGCCATCTGGAGCCAGTCCTCTGTTTCCTCGGCCCTCTAATAAGGGCAAAGTACTGGGTAGAACCATTGTCCTGGGCACTCAAGAGGCAAAGTGCTGTGTGTTCATGGGTATGTGAGCACATGTCCTATGGGAGGGTGTGTGGGCACATACACACCAAGCATGAGTGAGAGTCTGTGGGTGAGAGAACAGGAGTGAGCCTGAGCGAGTGTATATGTATGTGCACAGAGTGAGACTGTGAGTACGTATGCACCAAACATGAGTTTGCATGAACATGTGACCATGAGTGCGCATGTGTGGATGAGTGTGGGGGAGGTTAAGTGAACATGTTGCAGCCTGAGTGAGCATGCATGAGTGTGCGCAGCGAGGATGAATGAGCGTGTGTATGCAGCAGTGTTTACTTATGTCAGGTGGAGTATGTCAGGATGTGTGAGTATGAATGAGTGTGGGGGTGTGGACTGAGTGTGAGTGAGTGTGCATGTGTGCATGCCAAGAGTGAGTGTGTGTATGTGTGAGCAGGGTTGGTCACGGGTGAATGCACACAACAAGCTTGTGTTCCAGCGTGTACGGGGAGTGTGAGTGGGTGCACGGGTGAGTGCACACAACAAGCTTGTGTTCCAGCGTGTACAGGGAGTGTGAGTGGATGCGTACATAGTGTTGTGAGTGTGTAAGTATGTGTTCACATTGAGTGTGTGAAACAGGCCTGCTCGGCTACTTTAGGAGCAGAGAATCTTCTTTTACTCAGTACCTGGGAAACCTGGAAGAGCCCGGTTTGGGGATGCAGCGATCAATTGTTTAATCACTGCCTTGACGAAGGGCAGAGCATTTAAGAAGACTCCCTTCCTCCCTCACTTCAATGGGGGCCCAATATGACCACACAGTGGAAGCTTAGGGAAGGTAAAAGAAGGCGGCTTACTTCACATTTCTGGCAGGATTTCAGTATTACTTTGCACGTGTGCTCTCCTGCCTGATGAGGAAGGTCACGTTTTAAACAGGGACAGACAATGGGAGTTGGATATTTCTTGCCCTTTGGCGCCACCTACTGCAGAGATATATATAGGTGACTGTTACTTGCCTGGTCTTTTCCTGGTCATGAAATGCTTGCATGTACTGAAATTATGAAGGAGAAGAGCTATGGTAGGATATAGTAAAAAAGTAAAAGACAACAAACTCTTGTGGTGCTTCTTGGGAGACTGGGTCCATTCTGCTGCTCAGTCCCTCTCTCCACATTCCTGCTGTGGAGGCTGACTATCGCAGGCACAAGCCTCAGCGCGCCATTCCTCAAGGGCCCTCCCTTTCTCGCTCCCTGAAGGGAAGTGCACGTTGCTTGAATGAGCACTTTTTGCTTGCTTTGTTTTTAATCTGAACATCTTTGCTGTAGTCTTTGTGGATAGATAAAACCCTGAACTGGGGGTGCTAAGTTAGGTGATTCTTGGGCACCCTGTCGTGTCTGTCCACCCTAACTCTCCTGCTCTTCTACTTCTGCAGGTGACTCTACTGCTCACCGATATGACAGAGTTCCCACTGTCCCCTCACGCTCCGTTATCTGCATCCTTAACCTCTGTTTTGCCACATCATAAAGGTTGTGGTGTTCCATACGAGGCAGAGGCCATGAACATTGAGAAAGCCTTAGCAGATGGGAACTTGCTGGAAGTGGTCTCTGCCATCAGAGAGACTGT